CGTTTTGCAAGTCTGGAATAGCAGGGAATTTTCCGTCTTTCATACCTTTCTTCACAAACTCTGGAATTGGCGGAGCATTGCCATTTTTGGTGTTTTTTCCCTTCACAAAATCTGAAAACGGCGGCATATCTCCATTTTTTACGAATTGTAGAAATTCAGGATTCTGACTATCTGGAAGATTAATTGTCGGTAAATCTATATCTCCATGTTTGTGTAAATGAAGAATTGCTGCTATATCTCCATTTTTCACGAAATCAGGAATGACTGAAGTTCCACTGATATCGCCTTTTATTATAGAAGATTCCGTCACGTCATTTTGCACATTGCTATCCAAGAAATCGTGTGAGCCGGGTGTAGTTCCATTAACAACGTCTTCTGTAGTATAAGATTCGCTGACATTGTTCTGTACAGCACTGCTGATGAAGATTTGCAAGATGACTAGAAAACCATACAAAGGTAACGGAACCTTCATTTCTGAAACGAAACCAAATAAAACATATATCATTCATGCGACAGACTAAGACTTCTCCTCCATCCCAACCCATCCAAGTTATTCAGCAAACATTAAACCACATTTTCAAAAGAAAAAATACAGACTGCAGATGAGCAATCAGCTTTCTTGTACCATTTTAGATCTTGCCACTCTGGAAGCATGTCATACTCTAGTAAGTGATCAAGTCAGGAGTTTCCCTTTTGACTTATTACGAAGAAGAAATTCAGACAGTTTGAAATTGTACTGTCCTAAAATAGTCGAGTTTAAAACGTGCTAAGATTATTTTTTATAAGTTTTATTTCTGATATCTTTTGAAACAAAGATGTGTAAATTTTTAATCAGAATCTTACCCGCTTCTTGAAGAAGTTCTGATATATAAATCTGCCAGTTAACACAAGTTTACTTTCCACTTGATTAATCCTTTTGTTTCCTACGAAATTCAAACGAGGAATGGGGTGATATTTTGAAGTTATATGAAAATTAACGTCGTAAAATATTACGTGACGTCTTCAGACATCACAAGATGAATTCACCAACCATGTAAATTATTCTTTTATGCCTAAAGGCCTTATATACGATTACAAATCCAACGGTGACTAGTCTTTGATGTGACATAAAATCACTTTTCCATATTTCAATTTACAACGTATAAGAATCTAATTAAAAACTTCATTTAAAATAGTTTGGTTTTAAAAGCACATATTATAATTAGCTGCTATTTTAGGAGTAGACTTCTGGTATTTGTCCGTACAGTAAGGTTTCGCCTTACCAAGTGTAACTCGATCAGTCCTAAAACGACAACAGTCCGACAACAGTTAATCAGTCCGCTTCGCCTGACCACACACTGCTCCATCAAAGAAGATTAAACTTAAACACACAAGATCCAGAATATTTGGACTGATATTTCTACACAGCAAAAGGTCAAAACACAGACCTCACGATAAAGGAACCCCGAATCAACAACTCTTCTAATATCTTCATCTAACCACAATCTTGTAAAGGAATAACGAAAGCTTTCAATAATATAAGGAACTGTGAAAAATTATCAAAGACTGTTGTGAAAAAGGTGCATAATTGTATGCAAAACGGAGAGGATTTTGCGTATTGCAATAAATCATATTGTGAAACGTGTGGTAAATGGGTTGGGTTGAGGTGATACAATCAACGATGTGAATATGACATCTTCTTGTGATGATGATTAATCTTACGACATATGATTTAATATGAATATACGAGTAGAAAATGACATTTATCAATTATTTTGTCAGTAAGGTTACTAAAATGTCAAAATCTTCAGCAACGAAGAAAGTACAAGGGAGATGATTTGAAGTTGTGATTGCATGAAAGGAACTAGCTGAGCTGCTTGCCTCAAGAGGTCGGTGGTTGAGCTGTTACCCTTGTTATAGTGGGATTTATGCCTCGAGAGGCTGTGATGAAAATATCTATCATGTTTAATATTTTCTGCTTCGAGATGCCAGAAATTCACCGTGTGTGGACGTCTAAGCTACCAACTGAACTAGGAGAATTAAACTAAACAGTAGAAATTCATTGACGGATCACGTGTTAGAAGATCAAAATGTTAATCATGTCAATGCTATCTGTGTCTATACGCTGTTAATTCTACGAAATTCCAAAACAGGGAAATGAGGCCATTTTGATTAGTCACGTGACACTGATGCAGTCCGAATGTTCTTCGGTTGTTTTCGAAGAGGTACAGAATTGGCCAAAGATTATCTAGTAAAACAATAGCTCGAGAGAGAACTCGCGTCTGTGGTGAAAGAAGTAGTGAGAATGTTGTTTAGCTAGTTCCTCTCGTATGTAACATGCTGAAGTTACTACAAGAAGACAAAATCTTAATGTTTAATAAATTTGGTTTATATTACCACCCTTGAAAAGACACTGAAATTGTTCATTTGTGGATGTAATTTGAACATTGTATCCGAGCAATGTGTATAAATTTAGTACAATAACAGAGAAGATGACGACAGGGAATATTTTCCTCCGTATTTTAAGCGTATTTATTAATAGCAAACAATTCCTTCACTTAATATAATATAATTTTAGAACAATAATGGAGCAGTAAATATCTACTACAATAATTTGCTCTGTAAAGATTACTGTTGCATAACTTCTCCAGGAACACCCTGTTCTCTCTTTTAACTAGCCTGGCGTCATTACTCCTTGTTGCGATTGAGAGCATGCTACTCGAAAGCCTGAAGTGTCGATCCCGAACTATATTCTGTTAGTAACACTAACCCTGTAAAGCATACCGACCGGCCCGACTTGTGTTATATAGTCATGACCATGGTCTCATATAATTTGTACTGTACTCACAAGGATTTGGATGCCTCACAATTTGCTCACACTGAGCAAATACCGGAATTAAGCCCGAGATAAATCAAGAAAATCCAAATGGGCTTTTATTCCAAAGAGTTCCACGTGTAGATAAATGTAATATCTGACAATATAAAGCCGACTATTAAACGAACGTATCAATAAAATAGTTTTCAGTTCAAGGCAACGAACTTTACCCAGTATTGTTTGTTGACTTAAAACTAATTAATTGCTATAATTAACTGTATCAGCTTTGCGAAATGAATACCAATTAACCATGACTAATGATCAGCCTGAGATGCCCGTGATTTTATTCCATTACCAACGATACGATTATCTCCTCTCTGAAGACCTATATTACTGTACAATGCTTAGGTTTTAATCTATGGTCCCAAAATGGAACATCTACATGGAAATATTTACACTGTTATCACTTTGTTCTCGACAATTTCCTAAACACTCTAGAAAGCACAATTATTGACTGATTTTGACGAAATTTAGTGAAATTGTTATTCCAAAAATTATTTAGTAAGTTGATATAGCCCATGTTCTACGAAACGCTTTCAAATATTACCACGAGAATACACAATTCTCAATATATTTTGACAAAATTGGTATATTTGTTCATAATTACCAAAGGAAGAACACTATCGAAAATTAAGAAAATCGGAAAATATGAGTTAATGCCCTTGTTCTTCGAAGCGAATTCAGTTTTTTACATAGTAAGCATTGTAGAAGGCACAAATTTAAATGACACTTGATACAATTGTTCATATGAGATCAAAGAGGAACTCTTATATATATTTTTAATGAGTTGCAGTCTTTGTTATTTGTAGTTGTTTAGTGTATGGTTTCTAGCTTGTAAACAAGCTCAAAAAGACAGATTTGGACGAAATCATTAAGATATGAATAAAACATATGACTAAAGGTTGAATATATCATACTGGTGATGGTTGCCACTCTGCCAAATGTTCTTTTTTGCGGCATGCCAAAATCTCTAATCATCCAAAACAAAAGCCTCACTGCCCATCTGTTGATGATTTGGGTGTAATTTGTGTATCAAAGAAGTCATTATCATTTTAATTAATCATAGAAGTAACTCTTTAATGATCAATGACCCTATCCAGAGTAACTAAACACTCTCAAATTTAATTCAATAATTGAACAAATAATCCAAATACAAAATAATAATTATATTGTTTCGACGATTTGAACAACGTATGGAAAATTACTATTCTTAAAGGGACAGATTTTGCCATCCATTTGACCAATCGTTCCTTAGTCTCAAAAACATGAATTATTTAGCTAAGCTGATCAATAATAGTGTTCACAGCTTACTGTCGAAATTTCAGTCTTCAAATCCATGTGTGTGCAGAATTATCCGCTTTTGAGAGTTACAATGACGATTCGTCTTTCCTAGCCATATATAGGAAAAACATCGACAGTTGTTTCATGTGGTTCATTTTAACTGAAACTTATCTGATTCATCAAAGACAGTTATTTCATGTCCGATCCCTGATAGTTCATTTTATTGCGAATTACCTGATTTATCCTAAAAGACAGTTTTCTCATGATGGGTATGCTTATGGTTCATATCAACCGCGATGTAGCCGATTCGTTCCAGTGAACAGTTTTTTCATGTATTATCCCCATCTGAATGAGATATTGCATAACTTGTAACTATATCGAATAATAACGGATTAATATAAGCTTCGGCTTGTTTCTGAAACCATTGCTTATATATATGTGCAATGTATTATTTTTATTTTATTTGTATGGTCTGGTAAAACCTAAATCTAAGCGAACAATTCTTCTACGTTTTCAAGTCTTGTGAAATTTACCGTAATTTGGAAATAATCTGAGCCTAAATCACACGAGCTTAATATCCGTATCTTATTGTCTTTTCAACCTCAAAGACTAAAACGACAAAATGAGTCCACCGAACACGACGAGAACGGCCAAACTCTATCGAAACTTCTACCGAGTTACCGTATTTAGCACCTGTACGGAAGATAAAATGTCTAATATCGAGCGATAATAGACAAATCGATGAGTACAGGAAAAACTTGTCGTCGACAATTCTTCTTGGGTATGAAATCTAAATGGTAAAAGCATAAAGAGTTATATTGGCTAAACTCGTGATCGAGGCTAGTGTGGACTATCATCATGAAATATTAAGAGATTTGTGTGTACACATATGTTATGGTATTGATAATTTCAATACTTATTAAGAGATACTTAGGTTTCATTTCAGAGGACTTTCTGTTTTATCTTGGATTTTAGATGTTATCATTCTTAAACTTAAAATACAGTTCGTGATTTATACAAGGTAAGACATTCAATTTTTTTTTTAAATTTATTGAACATCAAATCCTTTTTGAAGGTAAAATTGCATTGACGAACGCTGAGAAGGGAGCATGGGCACAACGTAGTTTAAAAGGTATATATCAAAAGACGAAATCCAGAAAATGTGGATCGCCTTTCCAATATGGTTTAGTCCAAGAATATAATATATAGCGTTCTCATCGTCCTACTGTCCGCTTTTATAAATCAGTTTTCGAAAATAATCTTTCTTAAATATAAATGTCATGACTCTATCAGAAGGAAAATTTAATATTCAATGAGCCTTAAAAAGTTTTGTCATC